TGTTCAACGGGCCGTCCCGATTTTCGTCCTCGACCAAGCTGAAGGCCGTGCTTCGCGACAGTAGACGTTGCACCATTCCCATACTCCAGCACTGACTGCGGGCCAATACCATTTGTGTTGCTCATCGATGCCTTTGACGNCGTCTTCAATTGGCCCACACCGTTTTCTTCCTCGACAATGCTGGAGGCCGTCATCGTCGGCATCAAGCAAAACACCATCTCCGTGGTCCGTTCTTGACGGTAGTCCGGTGTCACTGATGCTGCATATCGATGCCGTTGAAGCAGAAGAGAACCACGACCGACGCCGGGGCAAGTCATTCTCAACAGGTTCTCCCCATTTTCGCAGTCCATGCCCTCTGGAATCCTTGGCATAATCCGACATGGACGGGAAAACTGGGCGACGGTGGGGTAGGTTGTCCTCGGCAGGTCCTGCTCGCACGCGACCCCAACCACGCCTACTGTCTTCATCCACCACAGGTTCCAGGTAATTCTCACACATCAACACGGACTCCTTTTGTCGTTTACTGCTGCCGTCCACCGAAGCCGTTGAGGCGGAAGAGAAATCCGAACGACGCCGAGGCAGGCTAAATTCGACGGGTTGGCCCCATCTCTGAGTTACACAACGTCTATCACCTCGTTCGTCTCCAGTGGGCCGTGCATTCTTGCTGTAGTCGTGCTTAGTCTGCACACCAGGGTGGTCGGGATCATGTGATGCGGCCCCAGAAGTCGACGAGAAATCGGAGCGGCGGTGAGGCAGATCGTCTTCGATGGGTCCTGCCCGTCGACGCTCCCAATCACGTCGAGCATTGATCTCATCAACAGCATATTCCAGACCATGATCGTGTTCCAGCACTGACAGCAGGCCATGATCGTCGATGCGCCCTTTCGAACTTCCCAAGTCGGAGAACAGACAGGAACGACGCCGGGGCAAGCTATCGTCCATGAGCCCTCCCCTTTTTTGTGTTCGACTTTCCTCATGCTCCGGAGCAGACCGAACGACGTGGCGGTTGTCGGCCCGGCTAACCAAAACACCTGGGGCAAGCACATAGCCTGGGCGACGACGAGGCAAATCTTCCTCTGTCGGTCCTCCCGGTGTGCGACCCCGACCGTGATTTCGATCGTGCACTTCTAAGATAGCTCCCGTGTCAATGCCATAATCCTGCATCGCCTGTTCGGCGATGACAATATCCACACTCCCTAACATCGAGGGGGAAAAGAAACGGCGGCGGGGCAGATCGTCCTTGGTAGCACCTGCTTGGTTCTGCCTTCCATAGCTTCGGTGCTCGTCCATTTTCATGGGCTTTGCCGTTTCGCCGGATGTATCCATGCTTGGGGAGGAGGTACGCGAATGGAAAGAGTATCGCGGACGACGGAGAGGTAGATCATTCTCCATGGGCCATCCTTGGCCGCTCGAACGTCTTCCAGGGGAGCATTGCTCAGTGTTGGCATCCACGTGCTCCTCGTGCCAATATGAAGCACCAGAACGGCGACGTGGCAGGTCGATAGCAACCGGTACGCGTAGTTTGAAGTACGACTCGGGATAAGGGCCGATTCGCCCGGCTCGCAGACGCGCTTGGAGCCTGGAGCCCGTCGGGTCACGGATACCCTCTCTCGTATCCCTCACACCTGCGTTAGAAGCGGGTGGAATTGCATTGGGCGTCACTGTACTCGTTTTTTCGTTGACATGCTTGAACAGCCGGATTGACGTCTCACACCCACGCGTGCCAACGTTGATCATTAATGAGGCCATCGATGTTGGTTTACCACACGGAATGGTCTGCATAAAATCTGCATTTTGAAGGCCTTCGTGGATTCAATCCACAAAAGCCCCGCCTCTCAGACCCGTGGTCAAGCCCTCCCGCGGTCGCACTTTTCCGCTTCCAAACGTATTTCGCGACAGGAACTTACATGCGAACAGGTTGTTGCCGACCATTCTGAACCAGGTGGGTGCCCACAGCCGGAGCGTGCGACGGGTGATGAACTCCCGCTCAGCGCGCTGCAAGGAGAGTGAATGTTCAGCGAGGCAAACGCGTACTCTTGGCTTCCGTGCATTCATCGATTGGCTCCTGCACGTAGAAGGCAGCAGGCATGGTAGTTGTCTTTCACCGAAGCTAGGACGACGCCGGTGCTAACCTTCTACGCGCGTAGGCGGATATCTAGGAGATAGTCGTTCCACATTTGTGTTCTGCCTTTTCAAAACTGCTATAACTTTCATCAATCTGTGGTCGATACTTACTAGATGCTGATGCCAAATTTAACCGCCTTCTGGGGCTGCCATACAAAACGAAATGCACGACTGAGATGCCCAAGCGCGGACGTAATAGTTTTGCAAGCTCTCCGCCGTACGAAATTCACCAAACACATATCCGGCACATGTGCTGAAAGATTTTCACCGATACTACGATGGCTAAGGCTTGTCTTTGCACTCACGTCGTGTTCATTCTCTCTGGCCTTGACGCGTCCCCTCCTGCTTTGAACAACCCCCCATAGTGACACGCAAGTATCCAAGTAGAGGGGTACCACCAGTGCTGTACAAGCGAGGGACGTTGCAGCGCGGATCAGGGCGGTCAGCGATCCAAACCCGAAATTCACGGGCGACACAATCGCTTTCCTGCTGCTGCCTGCCTGTGTAAAACCAACGTTGTTCGACATTCTTGCCAGCGACAGGTACGGTGCAGAAGAAATGCAGCGCCCCGAGGTACTAGAGCAGACTGACTGATAGGACCAGTTGGCAATACGTCAGATATATTGCTGGGAGTTGCGTCTTTACGTTCAGCCGAACCTCACCCGCAACACAAAGTTGTTGTGTGACCATGACTGCCGTGTCAATCCCGTTTGCTGTCGCAGTCCCGTCGAAAATGCTAGCGGAAGTGGCCAGCATCCCCGTACAAACCGCGTCCGTCAGCATAACCATTGCCCCCATCGAGTTCAGAACGCTGCGTGCACCAAACGTCCAGGATATAAAAAGAAATGGAGTGCCACAAGGAAAGTCTGGTTTCTCCTCCAAATCTTTTTTCGAACACGACACGGATATTCTGAAGTTTCCCAAGTGGCACTTGTCGTGCATCGTACAAGTCTGTACGCGTCAAGACGACTGCAAAAGCGTTGTCTTCGTGGTTTTCGGTGGGGTACATTCCGCCGAGTCTGCCCCGTACATATCGGCTGCCAGGTTTGGACGTTACGACACAGGAAGAATCGTTAAAACCGTACAGCTCCCACGGGTTTCCGGGGAAAAAGATGGTGCAGGGCGACTCCTCATGGTGCGCCCCGCCTTAGTCGACCCGAACACACAAATCCATTCAAACCCAACACAGCTACACGTGGCTCTGGGTAGTAACCGCCATCTACCGAGCAAGAGCGTGACATCGCTCTGGTTTCATGAAGTCTTGTCGTGGGCAGCACACGTTTCGACCAAGCTTAGCGTAACTTGTGCAACAGCTTCGGATGTTCAAACCTCAGGGCCGACCATGCCCCATAAACCTGGGCAACAAAACCTAGGTACCAAAAGATTAGAAAACGATTGTGTGAGGTTATTGCCACGACCATCGCTACTCTGAACGGTGGTTGATGGCGTCGTGAGTTTTTTTTTCTTAGATTTCTGTACAGAAAAGAGAGCGGGTCGTGATGGTATCCTGTGTGTATGAATCGCGTTACTTACCCGCCCGACCGTCAACTCTGGCAGAACAGTCCCAAGAATTCCGAGAATGCAATAAAACAGCGTTTCATTGGGGATAGTCGACATCCTAGACATGACAAGGGTCATCATTTCGGATTTTTCCCCATTTGTAGAGGGCACCAAATTGTCCGGTTCCCATTGCATCGACATTGAATGGTCCAAGCTTTCGGTGGACGTAGCGCTGACCAAGCCCTTGTGCACGACGTGGTGTTGCGTGTATCAAAACCAATGTTGATCAGTCGATTCTTGCTCAAACGATCCAGGAAAGTTCATATTTGCGATATCCTTTCCGCTACAAAGGCCTCAAGCTACATGCTCAAGACGATACTACGATCGAAAGTAGGAAATATTTTTTTTCGTGGTTCACAGTTGTAGGTAGCTCGTCGTAGGCAAATGTGTGGCTATGGCGGTTCTGGGCGACATCCACACACCTGTTTGCGAAGGGCTTGAAAGCCACGAGCAGGATGAAGGTCGACGAATGCATGGCACAGAATAACCCGAGTTGAACCGCACTGTTGTCCACCAGCACGCCAACGATCGCAAAGAACGCCCACTTTGCAACACGACATGGGAAAGAACACGAAAACACAACAGTTAGCATGACCCAGATTATCCATGAAAAACACGTTCAGGTTGATAAGATCCAAATCGACCAACTGTAACTGAATCTTCGACGCTCGATCGCGCGACACGATGATCAGGCTGGAAGAGTATATTTCTCGCTGACGCCGCAAAGAACTATACATGAAGGCGGGGCGTCCTGGTGCGCATTGTAAAAGGTCAGAGAAATTACCTTCATCAAAGAGACCTCAAAGTTCCCCCTCCTGCACGTGAGCGCTCCGGCGAACGTGATCGTACTATTTGGTACTTGTAGCAAGGCTATCCCCGGAGTTTGGTGACTTACCACCCGGGGGAGACCGACGACATGGTCAACGTCAACGTATCTCATCAATGGTAGAAATAGGACCAGTGCTCGCAACATTCGGGGTCAAGGACGCCTTTCACGGATTCACGGTAAGCGTAACGATGAAGCTCCTGCGTGCGCTTCCCAGAAGCAAGCAGTGGCATACTGTTCACGGACCCGATAGAAATAGATATGCCGACGCGCCAATGACAAATAGTTACCGATGCTGCTCTATCTTACACGAGATGTGGAGGCTACTTTGACCAGGCCTTCGGGCAGGGCGCACAGGGGGGAGATATACGGCTATGAGGAGCGTTAAGCGCCTGCTAAAGGGCTGACGCTTTGAGTCGGCATAATCCATTCCATTTCGGGTAAAGCGAGAGGTATACAAAAATATTTGATATTTTCATTGAAATCGAATGGAACTGGAATCAAGGTTGATCATCGTATTTGCCGGACATTGATGAATGTCGGTGCGCGTTTTACAATGTCCATGCAAATCGCAATGAGACTTCGACGAGTGTTGACGCTAGTGCGATGGGAGTGTGACGGAAACGCGATCCACTCTGTCGAATTTTTTCGGCTTCGATGCATTTTGATTCGACTGCCATGAACTGTTACACAACGTGATGGAAGTTGTTGAAATAAACACGAAATGTGTTGGAAAACGACGTATGATCAACTATGATCTGCGATGACAATTGGGATGACGAATACCATAGAACCTTGGATCCAAATGTGATCAAGGCTGTTTTGAGAATAGGATAATATCTGACCGAAACTGTGCTAACATTGATCAACGTTGTCACTCATCGTTCCCAACACATGCAAACAATGTTAGCTACGACATCATAGAACATGACGCTGTCTCCGATACCGCACGTTTGTTGACACTTGAAAAAAGCTGCACAAATTCAGAGCGGTATTCAACGGTTAGATTTTGTGTTGGATTTTCGCACAGCCGGAACCCACATGTACCTGATCGAATTTGCATCAGCGTTCTATGAAGTCACGATAATCGATCGCTTTCTGCCATTCGGAAAAGAACTCGTTCCAACTTGCATACCGATGAACACTCGCTAGGGTGATATGGGTTCAATGTTGTCGATATTTCATGGAATGGGGAATGCGCACGAATTCTGTAAAGTATACTGACTGGTCGGCAACGACTAGGCTAGCTCCGTCGGCGAGTTATGCATTACCGTGAACAAAATAGAAAAAAAAACAAGCACAACGCGATATATCTACACAACTCCGTATGTTTCCATGTGACGGAAACGCACTCAACTTCGACGAAAATTCGTTGCCATCAAAGCTGGGCAAAAGTTATCATGGAATTTCCATCCAAACTGGAGACACCAGCCCAGTTTATTGTCGCCGAACTTTGGTCGAAACTGACGAAGTTGATCAACTTTGATTTCAATACCGGGCTACAGCATGCCCTCTTCCTATCAAGAATGATCAGCTTCGACCGACGGGAATGGAAGTTGGATGCAACTTGCAATGAAACTTGATAAGAATGTCAAAAGGTGTCAAGCACTGGGCGACGCGCTCGAACGTGAAACAGAAGCTACTGTACGTCACGATAGCGGCGTGATTTAGCATGAGCCTCATTCGTAGAAACTAAGACAGTGCAATCACTGGCCGCCTCATCAAACGTACCCCCTACCGCTAGCGGAGATAGCCTCAACTCTTGCCAGGTACCTTCTCTATCGACGAATGGTGAGTGAGTTGGGGTTAGGAATCGAGTGGAAAAAAGACTACTCTTGAACCACGACGTACCTCCATCAATGTGTAGAGAATGAACCACGATCCAGCTTGGGTGAAGTCGGCAAACAGTGGCTCGAACCCGATCCGGAACCAATCAGCATCACGTCTTGCATTCACGTCCGACGTTTGAACTGTCTCCCACTGTCCTTTGTCTGCCCAAGCAAAAAAGCTGAAATCTTTTCTCGAACCAGCAAGGAGTTTAGAGAAAAACTCTTTTCTTCCCATCCAGGTTACGCGGTTTTCATTGGACACGAACACAATGAGGGCATCTGATCGAACCCTCACCCTGCCACGTACAATACAGACAGAAGATACGACATCATGGGGCAACAATATTATAGGCAAAACGCAGGAAATTGACACACAACAAATCTATGAGAGCGGTCGATACTCATCAAAGATGTTCAAGGCCTTCTTACGGAACACGCGTCACCCAAACAGCACATGAGCCTTCCGCGGGATTTCCTTTAGTTGAGTACACCTGGTTGGAGGGCGGCAGATACAACCACTCGGAAGTTACTGCGACTAGAATAAACCACAGGAAAACTCGTCAGTTCTCAGAGCAATTCGAGAAGATTGGAGGTTGCGGATGGCCTCTACGCTGTCTACACGTGACCAGTTTTGGGATAGAGGGAAGCATCTTACCTGTGAGTTCGCGCGACCATTGCAAACATCAGCACTGGGTAGAGCACCTGTTGGCGCAGTCGTTCACCAAGAAAGGACCAAACAGCCATGGAAGTTGATTAGGACAAGCTCTCGCGTGACTACATGGAAGCTCTAAAGCACGACACAACGTAAAACAATCATACAAATGACAGGCCCCACAGTCGGAAGTAAACACAAAACACAAAGTATCAGGACCCCAGGACCCAGGGGGTGATGGGGCGGCATCTATAGGCTAGGGAGCGCAGCGTAGACGATGTCAATCAATGTCGATGAGAGTATCGATTGCATGAACCTACTCCGGTATTTGATTCGTTGTGAACCACTGGTGTTGACGACTTCTCCCTATCTACCCGGCGCGATATCTGTCGGGACATACATGTACAAGGTTAGGCGTGTGCGGAGAGTCGTCGAATGGTGTGCCTAGCCCCCATCACAGCGAGCGCTACACTATAACCTCCTCCGGGTGTGGGTGCATTTACGTGACAGCTCTTGAAACCTGAGACCCTTTTCCAACCCCCGTCAAAGAGCATCTCACCGCGTTGCTTGTTTCCGACAGACGTTCTCCCCTGAAGTCTGTTTACAGCACCCGGTATAACGCGCAAAGATTTACTACGTACTGCCCCCGCTTCACATGCCCTCACCAGCGTCACCAAGGCCGCGTAATAAAGCTTCGAAGAACTTGTACTTCGCAAGGCTGAGACCTGTGAGGTCACTGCACCCTCGAAGGCGAAGAAAAGAAAGATGAGTTCCAGGTGCGGGTAATGGAGCCACGGTGACTGCGACAGTTCTCGACACTCTAACACTCGGCCCATCGATTTCCTCTGACGCGCGTTCGTTCGTCCGCCTTCTTCTTCATTGCTCTCCAAATCCCCCGAGTCGCTGCTGCCCCGAAATAGCGTAGATGGTCCTCTCAATGAGTGCGACCGAACGGTATCTGCCGACTGCCTCCCTGCTGAGGAGCCCCTATCCAAACTCGGCTGCTGGAAGCGTGTGTCCAAGATGGCTGTGGACAGCTCGCCTAAAAAAAGGCCATGGCCCAGGGCTCTTGAAGCCTCCCTACTCGCCCGTTGCTTGTAGAGCACGAAACAGAGGCAGGAGGGCAGTTTGTTGGTTGGGGGGTGCGTAAGTAACATACGTTGCCCGTTGCAACTCTGTGTAGCTCTACGCTCATTACCCATGCCGCCATCATTTGGTTTCGCGATAGTCACAATCTGCACGCCGAAAACACCTGCCATGCTTATTGTTGAACGTATGGATGTTTTTCCCTGGGGAACGGCTCGCGATACCAACCTACAACTCAATGTAGGGTCATTTCTCACCTTTGCCAGCCAGTGCGCTTCAATTCCCGACGCCACCAAGATGTGCAAGGAAAATATGATCACCAGAAGCCCGGCAAAAAGCGCAAGATTTCCCATGAACAACAGAGAGCCGAGGTCGTGGGTAAATGACACGGATATTCCTCGTTTCGTTGTATCATCGTCACCATCATCGTCACCATCATCGTCACCATCATCGTCTCCATTGATTTTGTCGGGTTCGCTCGGAAAGATCCGTGATGCAACACCCTCCGAGAAGCTTTCGCTTGGCCACAAGTTTACCCACCTTGACAATGCCGAGCGGAATAGATGCGTAGCAACACAGAGGGCGCAATTCAGATACGTTGTTGCGTGCGTCCACATGAAGTGCTCGATGGTAGGCCAAATGGTGTTTTCAGCGCGTCGTCTTTCTGAAACTATATATCAATGTAACGTGATCGTTGCACGTGCTCCTCTACAGATTGAAGTGACCCACTCGGCCCAACCGTCCCATGAGCCTAATTAATAGTCTTGCTGACCTGAGGACGTTGGCAAACGCAGAGAGAGCAGAATCCTCCGCTCCCGTATTGTCCACGAACGACAGCGTTGCTAAAAACTGAACTTGTGACGTAAGAAGTAGAGCCATTGTCGACGACGGATTGCGGAACGTACTCTGCGTCGATGCCTGGCCCTGTTTCGCAAAAGGGAGCAAGGACGTCAGGATAATAGGAGAGTGTAGGATGATGGAGTGACCGAGCGCGAACGAGTTGGAAGCCGACCAAGGATCCGCACGAAAGACGCTGCTGTGCTGAATATACTAAAAACAATAGATTCAACACGTAAAAAAAACACCTCGTATTGTTACTGTCCAACTACAACCAAACATTCCTATTCTCCGGAACATACCGCGCCCCCCGCCATTACTGATGACGCTCCACTGACGGAACCACTGGCGACGGTCGCCACGGTCGACGCCACGACACCCCCGACGGAGGCGGTAGAGATAACTTGGGCTGCGCCAATGGCGGCCTCCTGAACCTGTAGAACACAAGCGAAAAAAAGTTACCATCCCCTTGGAACGTTCAACGGCTTGCAAGCGAGCTGATATGCAGATCAAAAATAGCTGCTGCAAGTCAAGAGTTCTACCGAATAATGACGGCCGTACCAAGAAAAAACCTAAAAAATACACATCGCTCACCTCAACCATGAACGTTGGTGCCGAGGTCGGCGCTGCCGTCGGAGCTCGATCGACGTCGGGCCCACGTTCAGGGTCAGACGTGCTTACAGACCCAGGGGCTTGGACAACAGCTTCAAGCGAAGGAGCTTCTGTTGAGGGCGTTTCTTCTGCGCAACAGAGGTAACAGGACACGTTTCAGTTGGAAGGAAGTATACGTGAAACGTCGAACTATTTGCGGAGGCAAAAGAATTGACCACACCTTGGCTACATGGTACTCAATGAAATGTCACGTGCTATGCCGATGAGTTGCTATACCTAGGCCACTCTCGGCTGATTGGGAAAGTACTGCGCCTCGGATGGGCTCCAAAACATGCTTTCAAGAGGCCGTCCGATCGCACACAGAAACAGGAAACAACAGCACTGAAGAGGGTTAGGGTTAGGGTTACGGTTACGGTTAGGGTTAGGTCGTGCCTTCGACATTTTGGAACTACAACTATACTGCTATAGCAAGCACGGTTACACAAGTGGGCACTGTAAGGACTATCATGCTGTTGGACATCACCTGGAGTCGGCAACACTGTTCCATCGGCTGTCGAGGCCGGCATGAATACTGCCATCAAGAGTATGAACGCCCAACCAATGAGACGCCCACACGTCAGCACGTACGTCACGATAATCAAGCACGACCAACCCGTACCCCGACATCGGGAGAAAAACGTGGTCCGTGTTGAGGAATACCACGGGGTGCAAACACTCAAATCACAGATCAATCTGCTCCTGAGCTCGCCCACTTCCAACAAAGATGCACATCGCATCCAAAGGTCATGCCTTCCACATTTTGGAACTACAACTACACTGCGAGCAAGCCCGGTTGGACAAGTGGGCATTGGATCGACCATCGTGCTGTTGGACATCGCCTGGAGTCGGCAACACTGTTCCATCGGCTGTCGGGGCCGGCGTGATTCCTGCCACCAAGGGCACCAATGCCAAACCAACGACATGAGCACACGTCAGATCGTACGTCACGATAATCAAGCAGCACCAACCCGATGCGGCATAAAAAAACAAATGTGGTCGGTAATAAGAAATACCACGGCGTGCAACCACTCAAATCACCGATCAATCTGCTCCTGAGCTCGCCCGTTTCCAACCAAAAGGCACTTCGCGCCCAACGGTCGTGCCGTCCACATTTTGGAACTACAACTAAACGGCGCGCAAGTTTGGTTAGACAAGTGGGCACTGTATCGACCATCGTGCTGTTGGACAATCATTCACAGGGACAAGCCGTTGCCCGGGCGCGCCAACCCGTGCATCATCGACAAGAACGAGCGGGACACGTTCAAGCTCAGTTTTCGGAGATGACGAGTCCAA